GCTTGCTGGCTCCTCTGATGCAAACCCGGGCAGGCTGTTTTTCCTATCAAAGGCAAAAGACAGCGAGGCCTGGGAGGCTGTCCGTGGAGGGCACGGCGTATATACATTTCTCCAAGAGTGAGGCGCTTATAGGTATAGGATATAGAAGTGTGCAATGGCTCATTTATTTCAATGAGGTTTTTCCTCAGATAATTTATAATTCTAAACAAATTTTAGCTTGATTTCTCTGACCGGAGTCAGGTTTTCAAATCTCCGAGGCACAAAAGAAATAGTACTGATACTCTGGCTGTCAGCGTTGGAAGTTGCCGTGTCCTGGTGTCAGGCAGGGCCGGGGCTCGGAGAGCTGCGCTGGCGCTGGGGAGCGCTGGGAGGAGGCCTGCCCTCGCTCCCCGGGGCCCTCAAACCCTCCCTGGCTCCTGCCACCCAACTTCAACAAGCCGAAGGAAATTTAGAACGCGAGAAGTATAGATTAAAGCAGAAGTAAACGGTTTCACGGTCCTCATAGCAATGCAAATAAACGCTGCTACGGCCGATAACACGTATGTGTTCGTTACGGACAGGCAAGTGTGGAGCTATGAAGTTCAGCCCGTTCTTGGGTTGCTCAGAGCTTTGCTCCAGCTCCGTGCTCCTCGTGCCTGGTCTGACTTCGACACTGAATTCTCCTTTAATTTGGCATTCTCTGTAGGGGAGTCGATCGGGCTCCCTTCAGGATGCTTTCGAGACATCGGACGTCAGAGGGAACAATCATTAATTTTCAAAAATGCTAGAAAGGCAGTAATAAAATAAGAAATAGGTTTAAGCAAAATTGCAGACCTGAACAGACCGAAATTCGCAGCCATTAAAATTCCAAACCCTAATACAAGTACTTTTTTTTTTTTTTTTTTTTGTCTCGGACAGGTTTCCCTTCTTCAGTCTAACCAAGGGCTAAACCCCAAATGTAGGGCAGCGGAAACCTGAATTAGAACATTCTGGTCGATCTCCTCTCTCAAAAAATATGTCGAACGCGAAATCAATGTAAACATTGAATTGAAGTCATTTATAGAAATCGCTTCGCTTCCTTTTCTCTGCAGATGGAAAGAGTTGCCTCATGCCTCTCATGCTGCCTACCAGAAAAAAGCCAAGGTGCCCTATCTCCCAGGGCAGGGGAAAAGGGAGCGGGGAATCAGATGCCTTGCCTTTGTGCTTTGGAAGTTGCTTAAATTTTCTACTTAATTTGATTAATTTTTCAAAGTGCACCATGGAAAGGCAAGTGGCTTCTTTATTGATTGATTGGCAATCCTGTGCTGCTTTTATTTTCTGCAGTTATGCAAAAAAATGCAAACCCAATATTTAGGAAGCAATCGTTTTAGTTTGGTGAAGATAAGCAGTATTTGTTTTCTAGAGGTATTTAGAGAGCAGAGACTTGAGAGTCAGCGTTTGTCAGAAAACAGGAGCTGCACGTAGTTCTTTCTTTGTCTCTCCTTTGATTGGCATGCATTGTGTCTATTAATTGAATATATAGATATATTTACACACACGCGAAGTTATTGCCTCCGATAATAACGGAGGTGCTGTTTCTGCCTTACCTAAAGAACAAGTGCATACTTGAAAGTTATTCCCCAGCCTTTGTAGGTCAACTTCTTCCATGGAGCTTTGTTTCGACTGTCAGATCATAAAGCCACGGAAGGGTATAGATCGGGTTGCGTGTTCGGAGCGCTGGTAACGAATGGCACGTTTTAGCGTTTGGTCCTCTAGGTAGAAAAAATTAATCAGATGTCTGACAAGATTTGTTATTCGTCTGTATTTCAGGCTCCCTTTTTTTTTTCCCCCCTTTTTTTTTTTTCTTTCCTGGCTTACAACAAATATTACTAACGGGTACTTTTAGGTTTTAAAATATGGACAACAGTACTCCATGCAGTAAAAGACTTGAACGATTAATGCTACCCTTATGCCTCTTTTGAGTAGTTTTAGCCATGGGGCTTGGCACTGCCACCATTGTCTTTGTGCCAAAAAATATCCGCAGCGGCTGCCGCATTCTAGTACTAGAGGGTTGTCTCGAAAATTCCGCAGTGAATGCGTCGGGTGTCTACATCGCTGTAGACGCTCTCTCTTTTTTAAAACATTTTTAAAAAAAAAAAGGGGGGGGGGGAGAGAATCTTTAGCTCTTGCAAACCTCAGGAAACGCACAGTGCAGGCTGGGGTGTTCAAGTGACTGAAAATGATGCATAATGTACAGTAAACGTAGAAATTCAGGAGAAGCTTTTGTATTTGTGAGCACAAATAGTTGCTTAAAGAGCCTACTCTTGCATATTATCAGCACTCTGGCAAATTTTATTATCTGAAACAAATGTGCCAGTGAATTTTAAGCAGAAAATCAACATCAAGACTGTAGCTAATTTTAAATGGACAGTTTATACAAAAGATATTCCCACACCCCCCCCCGCCAAAATGAAGGACCATTACAAAAAGTATGATAATTTCATAATTACAGTTGATAGTGAAAATCTACGTATGTATATCGTTATAACGGTTTCTTGACTTTTTCATGAATTTCGGTTATTTGTTCTTAATCGAGAAGGCAGATTTCTGGCTGTGTGTGGGAACAACAACAACAACAAAAAATGTAATAAAGTTAAAGGCTTACACTATCAGAATGAAATGTGTTCACTCATGATCTCCAAAGCTATCTGTTTGGTGGTAAAAGTGGATGCTATAGATGAAATCTTTACAAGGAGCATAATCCTAAAAAAAAAAAAAAGTCAATCTCCTGCTGGCTGCTGTGCCGCTTTGGTACCTCACAGACTTCGACAGAGTCCTGGACGAGTGCCCATTGATGTCATGGAAACACTCAAATTACTGAGAATGATTCATGTCTATGCTGTTCTCTTATCCTCCCCCACACAAATAGAAGTAGATTTTAACCCTGACAACTTGTAATTTGCAGTGGGTTTATTTTTGTATCTGGATAAATATTTTTTAACAACTGAAATTAAGATGAGGCTGCCTGTGTCTGATACGATAGAAAAGAAGATTACCGATACCCAGGCAGCAGCGAGAAGCGCGTTCAAAGTACCTTGTGTCGCTGCTTGTACTTGGTTCCCCTCGACCCTGTTTTTCTGTTTGGGATTTTTCCCCCCCCCTCCCCATCCTCACCGCTTATTTGCATCGACTTTCTGGCCCTCTTGGGGTGACGAGAAGTAGCACACGTAACTCCAGGCGTGCCAGCAAGACATTTTGTTTTCAGATCTCGGCATTGGACTCAGAGATTCACGATGAACATTTCATTGTCGTTTCAATCTTGAATTGGTTCTGCAAAGGCTCCCAGTACACCGAACCTGAGGGGGGCTATGGAGTGGTGATCCCTCGGTTTTGTATAACCAGGTACCAGTGCTTGCAAAAGTTACTACCTGTGCAAATGCCCTATGAACTGCAAATACATTTTGGAGGTTCCCGTGTATAAGTAACTACTTTATGTGGAAAACAACAAAACCAATCGAGAAGCAAAAGCAAGCTACAGAGTCTTAAATTATTATAGGGAGAAAGATGATTTTTTTTTGTTCCAAACCACTCACAAGAGTCAAACTTTATCAATAATACCTCTAAATGGTGATCAAACCTGGTAGCTGTATAGTAAAGGAGAGGCTTGTGGACTCAGTCAGAATGTGGCCACACCATATTGGGAATGATTAAAATTAACTCCATCATCCTTTGTCTACCGGTCCGCCTCACCGTGGGTTCTTTATGAAATCTGGATCGCGAGGGGACGTGCCAGCTAGGGACCCCTCGTCCGCCGCCCGCCTTGCTCGGGCCCCTGCAATTCGTGCGGTCGGTGGATATCGTCGTTATCGTAATCTGGTATTTCCAAACGCCGTTCAAAGGTGGTTTTTAGCGGCTTCGGTAGGTGTGCGGGCACGGCGGCGGGGTCCGTACCTCGCAGGCGGGGGTGCGCCGCCGCCTCAACCTGGCTCCGAGGTGCGGAGGGTGTCCCCGGCATCGCTGGGAGTCGCGCGCGGAGATAAACTGAGCATCTGGTCCCTAGTAACTGGGACCGTGTGCTGTGGGTTTTATGCCCCAGCCTACAATAAAAACTTTAATTTTATGAGTGATTTTTACTGTGTTCTTGGATGTTTTGTCAGATAATACCTCCCCCCCTCCCGTGATTATCCTCACCATAAGGGTGGTCTTTTAGTGTCAATATGTTTTGTATCAGCCCTCTTGACTGCTCTTTGTCTCCGGAGCACGTGGTGCGGTGCTGCTCAGCCATGACTTAATGCTTTGCAGAAACCACCTCTTCCCTTCTTGATTTCGCTCGAGCCTGGCCATTGAAACCTGAAAGAAGCTTTATTTTCCTTTGTAAATATGGCCTAACTGTAACCGCTACTGCAAGTCAGGCTGGTGGATCTGAGGGTTAAAGGACTCCTGGGAAAAAAAGGAGGAATAAAAAAAAAAAAGGGTACTTAGGGCTGGCAGAGCCTCGGCAGTCGCTGGGCCCCCGTTCAAGTCCCAGCGTTGGTAGGGAATGGCCAGTTCCCCATCGGTGTCTCTTTCCCAGGTGTGAATTCCATCACCTGGATCACGGGGGAATTTGCTCCTGGGAAAGAGAGCGGGGAGCAGCATCCCCAGCAGCGCCGGGGCGAAGCCGGCAAGGGACTGGCCGTGCCCCCGCGGGTCGGTGGGACAGGCGGGGTGCCTGGGGGCTCAGCCCCGCGCCGGGGGAGGCACGCAGGAGCTCTGCTCGCACCTTCAGCCAGCCGGTGGAAGCCCCTTAGCTCCCGGTTCCAGGAAGCGTGCGGAGCAGCGCCGCCGAGATTAGGAAGTTTATTTCACATCACCATCCTCAGCATGGAAAAGTGTTAATCCCTTCCCGTTGCCTACATGCATTACGCAGTCAGCAGTGCCTCTTTTACATATGTAAACAGCACTAGGAGAATGTGGTGAACATCATCGGAAACGCTCGGAGAAGCTATATATATCTGTTTATATCTGTTATACATCTATTTATTTTTTTTTTTCGTTAACAGGTAAAACGGAAAGGGGTTCATACTCATCCTATGGAAGAGATTCGAATTTACAGGGTTGCCACCAGGTAAGTGAAAGTCTGCTCGGCAGAGGGGTTGTGGTAAATACGCTGATAAATGAGGTTTGCTTCTTAAAGTTGTACGTCCTAGGGATAGGCTCCATCATAAACGGCGACGGCTGCAGATGTGCGCTTCTCAGAAACGGGCTTTATTTGCACACGCAGGTTTTAAAGCTCCTGCCTGAGCTTTTCTAGGCAGGGTCGTTATTGGAGACTAAGAGTACTTGGGCTGACCTAACACCGCCCCAGTCAGAGCTGCTGTCACCCACGGGTTATTGTCCCCTGCGCCAGCGCCGCGCTGTTCGGCACGGCGGGGCCTTCCCGCCAGCACAACTTCAGAAATTACAGAAGTGGAAACACACCGCAGAGCTTGTGTCAGCCCCTAGCTTTGGATGGCTACTGCAATAAATTATAGTTTTCATAGAATCTGTATGATGTTGTGTGAAAACAAGGTTGTATTGAGGGATAAAAATGTCTGTGAAAATATGATTTGTTGTCCCTTTTTGTTTCTGAATTGTTTTTGGCTGGAAGTCAAGGCCAGCAGGCTAACAGCAAAGCCGTCTCAAGGGAAGCATGCGTGAGCTAGAAAAATAAGAGTAGTTTAATTAAATAATAAAATGCCAATGTAATACAAAGGTATAGCGCGTGTGTGTGCCTCTCTGCACTTTGCATTTGCATACTTTTAAGTCTCTAGAGAAAGTCTGAGTCTAAAAATACTATCAATAGCCAAAAGTCTGTGCTTTGTTTCAAGACAATTGATTTTTTTAAAAGACACTTTCTTTTTAATTTCAGTAGCAATATTAACCGCGTGTTTAAATTCATTTTGTTCTTGAAGAGTGCTAGGCTTCCTTTCCTTTTTCTAAGTGCAGTAGCTTCGCACTTTGGAAAACTATTGAAAGAATTTAATAGCCTTCTTAATATTCAAAGCTTTATACTGTTCAAATCTGCCAGGAAAAAAAAAAAACCCACCACAACCAACAAAAAACCAGCCAAAATGCATATTGTTTCCCTATAGGAAAGGGAAATACTTGATCCCTTCTTTCCTTTCGTATGTCCATCTTCTTTAATAATGTGGGGAAACAGTCTGTTCTTATGTTGGTGGTGGGTTTTTTAAACATTCAGTGTAGAAAAATGAAAGCGTTTGAGCAATTTAACAGACGTTTCTGTTCGCAGCGCGCACGTGTGTGCCATTGGCAGCGTCCGGAGGCCGGGGCCGCGCTCTCGGCCAGCCGTCGCGGCATGCCCCTTCCCTCCGCAGCCCCCCGTCTGCCGGGGCGCCTCCCCGCCCCCCCACCCCGCCCCC